TTTAAAAATCGGAAAGATCCAAAAATCACAAAATTGAAAACAAACAATTATAATAACTAAAAATTGAAAATTGATAAATTGAAAAACTTAAAAATTTCTTTGGACACAAAAAAAATCGAAAAGTTTAAAACAACGAAAAACTAACAAAAATAAAATTTGAAAAATCGAAAAACGTGAAATCAAGAAAATCAAAAACCGAAAAAATTAAAGACTCGAAAAAATGGAATGTCGAAACTTTGAGAAATTGAAAAGTCAAAAATGAATAACCTAAAAATTGTAAGAATAAAACATCCAAACACTGAAAAATTAAAAAGTCTAATAAATATTTGAAAAATGGAGAAATTGAAAACTAAGAGATGAAAAACGGCAAAATTGGGAACAACGAAAAATTAAGATAACTAAAAATTGGAGAATCGAAAAACTTAAATTCGAGAAAATTAAAATCAAAAATCGGAAAGATCGAAAATTAATTCAAAAACAGGTAAAACGAAAAATCACAAAATTGAAAACAAAAAAAAAAAAACAAAAAACAATTTAATTAACTGGAAATCGAAAATTGATAACTTGAAAAACTGTAAGTCGAGAAACAGCCGAAAAATATATCAAAAATCAGAAAAATCAAACAATTGAACAAATGAAAAATCGAAAAATTGAAGAATGTAAAAATCTATTTGAAAAATCGAAAAATTAAAAATTGAGATACGAAAAATTGCAAAATTGAAAACAAAAAATTAAATTAACTAAAAATTCAAAATTCTAAATTGAAAAACTTGAAAATTAAAAATTTGGATACAAAATATTGCAAAATTAAAAACAACGAAAAACTAAAATAAGCAAAATTTTAAAAATCGAAAAATATTAAATCAAGAAAATAAATATCGAAAAAATTTAAAAGTCGAAACAACGAGAAATTGAATGACCAAAAATGAAAAATGAAAAAAAGTCTAATACATATTTCAAAAATCGAAAAATTGAAAATTGAAAGATGAAAAATCGCAAAATTGAAAACAACTAAAAATTAAAATAACTAAAAATTGGAGATTCGAAACACTTAAATTCGAGAAAGTTAAAATCAAAAATCGGAAAGATCGAAATATAATTCTAAAACAGGAAAAATTGAAAAATTAAAAATTGAAAACGAAAAATCACAAAATTGAAAACAAAAAACAATTTAATCAACTAAAAATTGAAAAGTGAAAAACTTAAAGTCGAGAAATTAACAGCCGAAAAACAATTCAAAAAGTACAAAAATGGAAAAATTGAAAAACTGAAAAATAGAAAATTACAATGAAGCACCGAAAAGTTCCATAGTTGAAATTCAAGAAACAGAAAATAAAAAAATTGAAGAATGAAAAAATCTAATTGAAAAATCGAAAAACTTCAGTAATGAAAAATTAAAGTAACTACAAATTGAAAAAAACGAAAAACTTAAATTCGAGAAAGTAATAATAGAAAATTAATTCAAAAATCGGAAAAATCGAAAAATTAAAAATTGAGAGACGAAAAATCACAAAATTGAAAACAAACAATTAAAATAACTAAAAATTGAATACAAATAAATTGAAAAACTTAAAAATTAATTTGGACACAAAAAAATTGAAAAATTAAAAACAACGAACAAAAAAAAACTAAAATTTGAAAAATCGAAAAATGTTAAATCAAGAAAATAAATATCGAAAAAATTCAAAAGTCGATACAACGAGAAATTGAACCACCAAAATGAAAAACCTAAAAATTATAACAATGAAACATCCAAAAACTGACAAATTAAATAATCTAATACACAATAAAAAAAATCGAAAAATTGAAGAAACGAAAAATTGAAAAATCGAAAATAAAATTTTGAGAAATGAAACATCGCAACGTTTGATAAATTCAAAATAATGAAGATATGTTTGAGTTCTTGTTGAAACAAACATATTTATCATGTCGTTAAGTAACAATTTGTACAATACAGCTCCTTCTCCCTTAAGACCCGAATTTTTATATCAATTTAGAATAAAAGAATTGAAGAAATAAGGCACAATACACTGAGTAAGACACCGATACATAAAGCCTAATGGCACCACTTAACCTTTAAATCCCGATTTCCTTTCCTTCCGCGCCGATTTTTGCAGACACACATTATTTATTAGCAGAGCATAATTTTCGCGCTATCTGGATGAATAAGAAATTACGAATTTTACATACAATGAAATAAAACAGGGTAGGAAGCAGTAAAACTCATGAAATATTTTTTCAATAACGTTAATCTTTAATCCCCGCCGCACTAAAATCAACTTGACGGAGTGCACCATTTACAAGCAAATTTGCTCCATTTTAATAGCACCGACAGGTGGCTAGATAATATCCTCTTAAGAAATCCGAACCGCAAAGAGAAGACTATAACTTTATCAGATTAGTTGCTATTCCAGACCCAACCGCCTTCAACAATCCATTGTTCGATGGCTACCTACTCAAAAAGCTGAATCTTTATTAAGCAGCCGTAATTCGAAACAAACCACCACGCTATCATAAAATCAACACCCCACCACCACGAAATCTTATAGTACACAGTCCAGATACCATCTCTTAATTTTCCCCCGAAAACATCAACTTTCAACGTCCTCCTGGAAATTCGTCCCATTTCTCAAAAATAACACGCTCATCGCGATAAGATCGCCATTAAAGTGCGTGCTGACTCCATAAAATTAATTCCTCCGGCTGGAAATAGTACCACCACAAAAGAACATTCCTGGATGTAACTAGACACCGGCTAATTGAATATTTTATCGTAGCGCTACGGAGAAAGCTCGCTTGAAAATTATCTCTGTCGGTTGATGACATAACGCTCGTCTTGATAACGAAGGTTACGACCAGAAACTGAGGAATTCGCGGAAATTGACACCGACAGCGATAACACAGGGGAAATCGCGGCTACCTCCTTCGGAAATGGTTTGCTAATTGTAGTTAAATTTACGACACGAAAGGAAAATTTTAAGGCGCGCTTTTTCGACCCGATCTGGCACCTGGAGGCGGGAATCCGAAAAATCTCACTCGGTGATGCTTTTATTATTCAGGTGTTTTAATTGCTTTATTGGCGGACGAGGTGTCGGATTTTAATTGATCGAGTGGAATTCGACGCATATTTGAGTTCTTTTACTAACGTTCGTTTAATAATTTTTGCGACGACGGGGATGAACAAATAGGTTGATAAAATTATTAGTATTAGTACTGTTTCCAATTAATTTTATGAAACCGAGCCTGCCTCAATGTTCTCCGTTAAAAATTTGAGCTTCTTGATTATCTATCAAAAGTGGAACGCCTTTTAGCCATTACACTAATTGAAACGGAAACTAAAAATGGGCACATCGGTAGCACCAGAGCTCGTAATTAAACGTTCGAAATTTAGTAGGTAGTCGGTGGTGCAACGGATATTCTAAATCATTCGGACCATTAATTATCTGATGATTGTTAGCGATAACTGCCTGGGAATCAATTTCTAGCCCCCGAATAAAAAATTACTAGAAGGTTGTTTTGAGAGGGCTCTGGAAAGTGAAAATACTTGGCGTTTGTGAACTTTAACATTTAGCGAGGAAATGCGGTTTTGGTTTATCGCTTGGACAATAATGAGAGAGGTTGTCGGAGTAAGAACGAGTTTTTTTTCTGAAAGAAATTTATTCTTTGACTAATAACAGAAGTCGCTTTCAAAAACTGAGATTCACAGAATCTTTCAAACTTAAATAGGTACATAAAAAAATAACAAATTAAATAATTAAGTAGCCATGTGTTTGTACATGCAATAACATAAAATGACAACACTTTTCTGAAAAGAGAAAAATAAATATACATAAATAATAAAAAAGACAGTTTAAAACCGACCGGTTTAAGATTAACAATGTGAATACTTATCTAACTTACGTACACAGTAAAAATTAAACATACGTTTATCGTTTAACATTAACATTACAAAACAAAGTGGCACAATCATCGTAAAAATTTCTACACGGAAAATAGAAAACAGGTAACAACAGAATTTTCGTGGCACGAAACGACAAAATAGCCAAAATCTTACTTTAGTCAATGCCCAATGAAAATGATGTTATCGATAATGAAGCTCACTTTAAGACAACATTTTTCATCATCATTTAAAATTCGATATCAAAAATATATAACTAATCAAGTTATTACTCTCGTTAAAATTAAAGTAATAACGAAATGTACAAATATCACAGTATTCGTATCTCGTCAAATCTAAAATTACGTATCTACTAAGTAATAAAATTATATTAAAGCATCTTGTTCAAAACAATAACAATCATTCCATCATTTCGTCTTTAGGCAAGGAAATTCAACGCGCGATCACTACGACCCTCTCTAAAGAAAAATCGGACAAAGAAAATATTCAAGTGCAAGCTCTAGGTTTCGAAAAGCGCTCCCGATTACGTTACAGCCCTCTTTTGAAGTCAGTTCGGGTGTCATTTATACTCGAACGGTGCAATGGAAGTCCGTCCTAAAACCATCGAAAATTCGACGGGGCCCCCATCACAGATGGGCTGCTACGGGCCTGCACCGTCTCAAAATTTCTGACGATTAAATTACATACTTATAGATACATCTTAATTAAAAGTCAGCTAACCCTTCAGGGAAATGGGCACTAGTCATGGATGGACAGAGATTCGTGGTTGCCTAATTGATATTCTTAAGCTGATATGTCTTAAAAGTAGCCAAAAGTACAAAAAGATTAACTATAATTACGGCCACGGAGCGAGACGCAAATCCGCCATTTTGTTCGAGGCAACTACGCGGCGGGCGCTTAGCTATAACTGACATCCGAAAGCTGTTTAACTATAACTGAACAATGTTGATAACGTAAGCATTATTTTAGTTATTGTCGGTTCGTAATCAACACATGTTTCAAGATCTGTACTGTGAAAATAAATTTAGTTAGTTGTTAAAAATCGACTATCAATTATAGTTAACAGATCGAAAAATAAATACAAAAACCGTTCTAGTTATAGTTGATAGTGAGTTGATTATGATGAATATGTGTTCAGTTATAACATTTATCTTCCATGTGTTCAAATTTGTAGAATATAAATACATGGCGAGGTTCAAAAAATAGTTAGTTGGAAAATAAAGGTTAATTAGAGCATATTATATGAGTTGTCGAAAAGTGTATGATAGTTATAAGCAAAAAGTATTATTCGCTAGCGATATCTAGTTAAGATCTTAACTATACAATAAAGTGTGTATTCGTGGTGATGCAAATTCAAAAATATCAGTGATAGTTAATACTGGAAGGTGTAAACTTGCATTATATGAGTATAATTTAACTAGTTATATCATTAAAAATTATAGTCTGTCAATTATAGTTAAGAGCCTGAATTTTTTATTTTTTTTTATTCGGACCTGGACCTCGCTCCCGTGCCCGACCTCCCAACGAAACAGCCTAAGCCTCCTCCAGCCCTCCCTCCGCAAAAACAAGTGTACAAAAACAAGTGATACCTGGCCATCGTATTTGGCACAAAAATCTCCGGCTTGGCAACGACGCACTGGAATGAAATGAGATCTCCGACATCGCGTGGCGGCGGCGGGGGCGGCGAGTCCTCCAAAACGCTTCGACTAGACATTTTGTACATGGTTAAGAAAAAGTGGGGCTCGCCGCCCCCCGAACTTCCTCACATCAGTGGCTCTCAGTCTTGACCGGAAGAGGCTCTGGCTCGTACCTCGCGTGCGTGCGCATGTGCCTCGTGATCATGTCGCGCCTGCAGGCGGCGTAAGGGCACTGGGGGCACTTGTAGGGCTTCTCCCCCGTGTGCGTCCGCTGGTGCGTCGACAGGTGGTCCGAGCGCGAGAAGACTTGTCCGCACACCCGGCACGTGTAGGGCTTCACCCCCGTGTGCAGCCTCATGTGGCGCGTGAGCATATCGCTGCGCGCGAACGACCGCTTGCACACGTCGCACAGGTACGCCTTGGCGGCGGCGTCGCCGCCCCCTTGCCTGCTCTTGTGCCGCGACGCCATGTGCTTGGCGAGGCGGTCGTGCAGGCTGAACATCTGCCCGCAGACGGGGCACACGTACGCCACGTCGGAGCCCGGGGGCATCTCCTCCACCACCGGCGACACCTCGAGGTTGTACCGCGACGCCACCGACTCCTTGGTGGTGGGCGACGCGACGTCGCCCTTGACCACGGGCACGTTAACCCGCGGCAGGAAGCCCGGCGAGAACAGGGGGAGGGGCGGAGGGAGGGGCGACGGCGGCTTGGCTTTGAGCGACAGGTCGAGCGGGGAGTCCTGCGGCGACGCCGGCTTGGACGGAGGGAGGGCCAAGGGGTGGGGCCACGCGGGCTTCGTCCGGTCCGCGAACCACAAAGGGAGGTCCGAGTCGCTGTGGCTCCGCCTCCTGAAGATGTCTGGCAGGTACTTCGAGTGGAAATACCTAGACACACTGTGTTAACATTGCAAAAAGTAAAGGGTAGTAAGTCGTAGTACCTTTCGAAGTTGGAGGGCGAGGCCGGCGACGCCGGGAAGTACCGGTCGTAAGGGTGGAGCGGCGGCGTGTGGTGCCCCACCGTCACGCACTGGTAGCAAGGACAGCCCGTCCTCTGCAAAGACAACGGGGGGCTGCAGCTGGCGTCCTCCTCCTTGAGCCTCAAGGGGCTGAAGCTGATCCGCGGCGACTCGGTACTGCTGTGCGGACTCTTGTTGCTGGAGCTCGCCGGGCTGAAGACGTCCTCGTCCTCGCTGGCCGCCTTGTACCTGGCGGTGTCCGGCGTGTCGAACTTGAAGACATCGGGCGTGCACTGGCGCTGCTTGGTGATGCGCTCCTCCTCCTCATTGTTATTATTATTGGCGGCGGCGACATCGTCCGCGCTTGGAATGTCGGCGCTGGAGGCGGTCAGCTTGTCCAGAACTTGGCTGAGGCGCTTGCGCTTGCGCTGCTTGGCGGCGGGGCGGTGGTTGTGGTTGGCCACCAGCGGGTGGTTGTTGTTGACTTTGTCGTGCGCGGTGGAAGACTCGACGGCGGTCTCGGCCATAGTCATTAGCTCGTGGCGGCAGAGGGCCGCGGATCCTGCAGTGCGGGGCGGGGGGCGAGGGGCATGCTACGGGGAGGGGCGTCGGGGGGTGTCCTGCAACAACGCAAAAATCCAAATTAAAAAAATATTGCTAAATTTTATAAAATAACACACTCCACTACTTGTGATTTATGAATCCGTGTTGAGTTTTTAATTCCGCAATCTCGCAACGTTTCAAGGTTATATTATTAAAAAAAATAGCAAAAATAAAAATAATATTCGGTTTGAAAGTCAATTTCTTTCAAAATCTTACAAGCAATTTTAAAAGAAATAGAGCCCAAAATAACTTCTGGGAGTCGAACTACAAAAAAATGTCCTTAGCTAATTTTCGAAGGTGGTTGAAAAATGAGATCAAATTTTTGGTGGGAGTAGTCAGAGAAATTTCACAACTGTTAAATCAATAGTTTCAGAGAACCTAATACAAAAAATAATAACATCAGTAGACCACAGAGACCACATAGACGAAACGGAAGATCTACTTTTTCACATTCTAAAATTAACCAAACTTCGGAAAAACGTGCAATTCCAGTACATGCCCGTGAAGTAAGAACAAATTTAAAAATACAGGTGTTCATCTTCAAATTCGTTCAAAAATAAACCACAAAGGGCCTTGAAACTATTTAAAAATCTTTAAGAAAGACACTAAGACTCAAGAAATAAACGTCTGTAAAAGTCTTCGAATTCGTTCAAAAAATACCAAGGGCCCCAAAACTCTTTAAAAAGGATACTAAGGCCCTCAGGATTTGTTTCAAGTCTTGAAAGAACAGACTGTCGCGAATCTTTGAAATTTAAATTTTTTCAAAATTTTTCAAAAGTAAAACGCTAAGGACCTTCGACACTCTTTTTAAAGTTTTTAAACAATCAAACGTTGAGCTTCCTAGAGATTTTTACAATTTTTCCAAAAATAAAAATTAAGGGCCTCAAGATTATGCGAAAAAAGACACTAAGGGTCTCAGAATTTGTTTAAATTCTCGAAAAAGCAGAACCCTTAAAATTTGTGCAAAAAATACCAAGGGCCCCAAAATTCATCATAGTTTTTACGATATTAAAATTTGTTTTTCGTGTTTTAATTTCCTTTGATTTTTTCAATGTTTCCCATGAGTCTATAATTTTTATTTTATTCAATTTTTCTAATTTTTACTCTTGAGTTGAAGATTATAAAATATGAACATTGAACAAGCGAAAAAAAAAAAAAAAACGAAACGGAAAAGAGCAAATCAAAAAAATTGAAGGAATGAAAACTGAAAAATCGAAACACTGAAAACTCCTGAAATTTTCCGACTTTTTAACTTTTCTTTCCTCGATTTTTATTTCACAATTTTTCGTTTTTTAAATTCCTTTGTTTTTTCAACGCTTCTAGCGATTTTATAATTTTTGTTTTATTGAATTTTTCAATTTAACATTGAAAATTATCACATTTAAAAAAGAAAAATTATTAAATCAGAACATAGAAAAACAGGAACTTTGAAAAAAATAGAGAAAATAAAAAACCGAAACGAAAAAAGCAAATCGAAAAACTCAAGAAACGATAAATCGAAAAATCGAAAAACTGAAAACTTGTGAAATTTCTCGATTTCTTAATTTTCATTTTCACGATTTTATTTTACAATTTTTCGTTTCTTCATTTCTTTGTTTTTTTCAATGTTCCTTACGATTTTATCATTTTGTTTTTATTTTATTTATCAAATTTTCAATGTTAAATTGAAAAATTTTAGTTTTAAAAAAGGAAAAATTATAAAATCAGAACACTGAAAAACCGAAAAATTAAAAATGAGGAACATAAATGACAGAAACGGAAAAGAGCAAATCGAAAATTTGAAGAAATGAACAATTGAAAAATGGAAAAACTCGAAACTCAAGAAATTTCCCAACTTTTTAATTTTCATTTTCTCGATTTTTTTTTCACAACTTTTAGTTTTTTAAATTGTTTTGTTTTTTCAACACTTCTAGCGATTTTATAAATTTTCTTTTATTCAATTTTTCAAATTTTCAATCTTTTCAAGTTCTTGATTTCTATTTCACATTTTCTCAATTTTGTACAATTGTTTTTTGTGTTTTAATTCCCTTTGCTTTTTTCAATGTTTCTTATGATTTCATAATTTGTATTTTATTCAATTTTTCTAATTTTTAATCTAAAATAAATAAAAAATTGAAGGAATGAAAACTGAAAAATCGAAACACTGAAAACTCCTGAAATTTTCCGACTTTTTAACTTTTCTTTCCTCGATTTTTATTTCACAATTTTTCGTTATTTAAATTATATAATTTAACATTGAAAATTATCACATTGAAAAAAGGAAAAATTATTAAATCAGGACATAGAAAAACAGCAACTTTGAAAAAAATAGAGAAAATAAAAAACCGAAACGAAAAAAGCAAATCGAAAAATTCAAGAAACGATAAATCGAAAAATCGAAAAACTGAAAACTTGTGAAATTTCTCGATTTCTTAATTTTCATTTTCACGATTTTATTTTACAATTTTTCGTTTCTTCATTTCTTTTGTTTTTTTCAATGTTCCTTACGATTTTATCACTTTGTTTTTAGTCTATTTATCAAATTTTCAATGTTAAATAGAAAAATTTTAGTTTTAAAAAAGGAAAAATTATAAAATAAGAACACTGAAAAACCGAAAAATTAAAAATAAGGAAAATAAATGACAGAAACGGAAAAGAGCAAATCGAAAATTTGAAGAAATGAACAATTGAAAAACGGAAAAACTCGAAACTCAGAGAATTTCCCAACTTTTTAATTTTCATTTTCTCGATTTTTTTTCACAATTTTTAGTTTTTTAAATTGTTTTGTTTTTTCAACACTTCTAGCGATTTTATAAATTTTCTTTTATTCAATTTTTCAAATTTTCAATCTTTTCAAGTTCTTGATTTCTATTTCACATTTTCTCAATTTTGTACAATTGTTTTTTGTGTTTTAATTCCCTTTGCTTTTTTCAATGTTTCTTATGATTTCATAATTTGTATTTTATTCAATTTTTCTAATTTTTAATCTAAAATAAATAAAAAATTGAAGGAATGAAAACTGAAAAATCGAAACACTGAAAACTCCTGAAATTTTCCGACTTTTTAACTTTTCTTTCCTCGATTTTTATTTCACAATTTTTCGTTATTTAAATTATATAATTTAACATTGAAAATTATCACATTGAAAAAAGGAAAAATTATTAAATCAGGACATAGAAAAACAGCAACTTTGAAAAAAATAGAGAAAATAAAAAACCGAAACGAAAAAAGCAAATCGAAAAATTCAAGAAACGATAAATCGAAAAATCGAAAAACTGAAAACTTGTGAAATTTCTCGATTTCTTAATTTTCATTTTCACGATTTTATTTTACAATTTTTCGTTTCTTCATTTCTTTTGTTTTTTTCAATGTTCCTTACGATTTTATCATTTTGTTTTTAGTCTATCAAATTTTCAGTGTTAAATTGAAAAATTTTAGTTTTAAAAAAGGAAAAATTATAAAATAAGAACACTGAAAAACCGAAAAATTAAAAATGAGGAACATAAATGACAGAAACGGAAAAGAGCAAATCGAAAATTTGAAGAAATGAACAATTGAAAAATGGAAAACATCGAAACTCAAGAAATTTCCCAACTTTTTAATTTTCATTTTCTCGATTTTTTTCACAACTTTTAGTTTTTTAAATTGTTTTGTTTTTTCAACACTTCTAGCGATTTTATAATTTTTCTTTTATTCAATTTTTCAAATTTTCAATCTTTTCAAGTTCTTGATTTCTATTTCACATTTTCTCAATTTTGTACAATTGTTTTTTGTGTTTTAATTCCCTTTCCTTTTTTCAATGTTTCTTATTCAATTTTTCTAATTTTTAATCTAAAATAAATAAAAAATTGAAGGAATGAAAACTGAAAAATCCAAATACTCAAACTGGTGAAATTTTCCGACTTTTTAACTGTTAGCTTCTAGCGATTTTATAACTTTTCTTTTATTAAATTTTTCTAATTTTCAATCTTAAATTGACGATTTTCACAACGAAAAAAGGAAAAATTTTAAAATCTGAACATTGAAAATGCGAAAAAAAAAATCGAAACTGAAAAGAGCAAATCAAAAAAAAATTGAAGGAATGAAAACTGAAAAATCGAAACAATGAAAACTCCTGAAATTTTCCGACTTTCTAATTTTTATTTTCTCGATTTTATTTCACAATTTTTTTGTTTTTTAAATTCCTTTGTTTTTTCAACCCTCTAGCGATTTCATAGTTTTTCTTTTATTCAATTTTCCAATTAAACATTCAAAATTATTACAACAAAGCAAAAATTATAAAATCGGAAGATAGAAAAACAGGAACTTTGAAAAAAATAGAGAAAATGAAAAACCGAAACGGAAAAAGCAAATCGAAAGATTGAAGAAATGAAAAATTGAAAAATATGTGCTATTCGACAGAAAATATACAAATATATAATTTTTTTTATATCGTTTATGTGTAACGGGAAGAAAGTGGGACCCAAATGGGGGTGTTGAAGAATTCCAAATTTAGTTGAACCTTTCGTAGACAATATAATTCACCACTAAAATTATGTTTACCCGAATTTCTCGTACGTTCGACGCTTCCCCGATGCGCAGTCAATTTCTGTCATTGTCGGTCGAGAAAAAATCGTCCGGTCGTCACCGCGTCACGTGACCGCCGTCCGCCAATGGGCGCTGCGCCGCCGCGCCTGCGATTGGCGCTCGACCGGCACGTGACCCCAAAAACAGGTGTTTACGCTACGCGCCCGCAACTTTCCCCTTCCGCGCGCTCGTGCAACGTACAACGAACTTGGTCGCCGATTTCGCCCATAACCTCAGCGGCCGTCGTCGACTTTTTCGCCCATCTCTCGGCGGCGTTTCTTCGAAGCGGCCGCTCCTCGTCGCCCGCCTCCGGCCAGACCGCAAAAAGTGGTAGTGATATCGTGCCGAACGTGCTGGCTTGTCGGAGGCCGTAGTTACGCGATACCTGCGAGCGGCGAGTACCTGTTATTGTCCGCCGACACCTGATAGCTGACCTCGTTATGAAATATGAATGGAGACATGCCAGACGCGC